TACTCATTGGGCTTCTTTGGCTGTAAATCTTTATAGGAGCAGTTAGCCTCACCCAGTTAGTAGTTGAACATTCACCTGAGAGTGCCACCAAACCCCCAAACAAACCCTAAATTACTATTGAGTTTACTCTAAATCCCAGTGACTCTCATATTAGGTTTCCAAGGTTGTGAATCTTTACAGTAGCAGATAGCCTCCTCTTTCTCCCGTGGACCCGCTGGAAAGTTTGAACAGCCAACCTTGTGGTTAGGAGCCCAATGCATACCTGACAGTGCCACCAGGGCTCTTAGATTAGCCTACCAAATACTGGTGGTTTCTATCAATCACACCTGCTGCCCCATATCAATCTAGAGTCCCACCTCGTTTTCCTAACCCCTGGCTGAATGTTTTCTTAGTTCTCTTTCAAGCACGTTAAATAAGAAAAAGAAGAACTTGCTGTCAGAATTAGAAGTAAACTTAATGAAGGCACAAGTCTAAATATAATCTTTCCAGCTACAAAACAGACCCAGATGACAAAGAGTACAAGGTTCTTGAGGACAGACTATCTCTTTCTCGGATTGCCTTTTTCCTCACCTGGAGAATTCGCTTCCCAGTCAAAAGGCAACCAGCCTACGCAGTTGTGCAGCGGAGCTGTTAGGAGGGCTGAACCTGGCACCAGGGTCCCATTCTAAAGCTGATGTTTACCAGCACTGTCCCCAGGAGTGAGTTACTTAAGCTCTCTGGGCCTTAGTTTCATATATTTTTAATGGGGCTACAAACATGATCTCATAGGATGGTTGTGAACTCAGTAAGTTAAGACTTGTAAAACACAGACTGGTGCCTGCCGCATAGTAGGAGCTCAGGTTCTAGCAGCTTTCACCGCCACCATAAGCATTACCAACTTTACCTCTCCTGAGGCCTCGGGCAGCTACAGCACAGTGCTCTAGCCTAAGCCAGCCAGCCAAGCTATCTTGACCATCCATTCAGCCATCACCTGAGTCATACCACACTGTGGCTTCCGTCATTATTCCCACAGAAAGGAGAGCAGCAGACTGCACACTCATCCCAGACCACCAGGCTGTGGTTTAGAGTATTCCCTTTGTTTATTAGCCTGTTTCCAACCACCGAAGTGCTCGAAGACAACCTGCTATGCACACACGTCAGACAAGTACAGTCCATGCTCACTTAACAAATCAGGACTCTGGTTAGATCAGCTTTAAGCCAGGGGTTTCTCAGGACAGGTGCATCTCAGAATCACCTGTAGAGCTTTCAAAAAACCACAGTCTCCCAGAAACTCTGACAAAGAGGCTGATTCCATAGGCGACTTATTTTTAAAAGAGTGCATGTGATTCTGACATCCTTGTCTACCTACAGTGGAGAACTCTCACGATTCTAATCAGAGACTCTCACATCCTGGGTGCATTCACCTATCCCATGGCCAGCCTCCACCTCAAGCCCAGTGAATGTGGACCTAAACGAGCCTCTTGAACAACTTTCCAGGTGAGTCTCAAGAGCAGCCAGGATTCAGAATCAGTTAAATGATGACATCTTCTGATTTAGTACTGATTCTATTCACATATATTTTCAGAAGGCTGTCTAAAGGTGGGGAGTGCCCTGGTGATGGTGGGCTGCTAACCCAAGGTCAGCAAGGTCAACAGTTTGAAACCAGCAGCTGCTCCAAGGGAGAAAGATAAGACTTTCTACTTCTGTAAAATCTACAGGCTCCAAAACGCACAGGGGCAGTTCTATTCGGTCCTATAGAGTTGATATGAATTGGAATGGAATCTATGGCAGTAAGTTATCCTCAAGTGACTCAATTAACAGGTAGATCAGAAGGTCAAAGAACAGAGGTCATGGAAAACCCAATGCCACAGTAAAAACAGTCCACTCTTGACTACACCAGGGGTGACCTCAAGTAGCTTAGGCATTCCCCATTCCCACCTGCGGCTCACCTTCCCCGACCCCTACCAGTGCTGTCCACACCTGCCCTCCACCAGCCCAGGCTTCCAGGGAGAGGGGTACAAACTGAGCTAATCTTCCTGAGTCTCCACTATACTTTAACTGTGGTTAATGTGCAAACTGATTAATCAGCACCAGGATAATCAAGAGGCAACTGGGTTGCGGATGGGGTGAGGTCTAGTCAAGAAAAAAAAATTAATTTCAAAAGGCCTAATAAATATTCATTCTTGACCTTATTTGTCAAAGAGACATCAATTGGGTAGTGACAGGATAGTTGAAAACCCGCTAGTGAGATATACTAAGTATATGACTTCTTTTATGCTTTCAGGTAAGAAAAAACAAATCACTCTGCAGAAACACTATTTTGAGATTGACACGATACAAAGCTAAAACAGACCTACGTGTGATGTACGAGGCCTTGGGTATAATTCTGAAGTAAGTACTCATCGGGCCCCGTCTGGCTCAGTGTAACTTGGGTTCTGCTTCCTCTCCTCTCTAATAAAGGAGACCCTCACCGCCATCAAGTCCACGTCCATCCTCAGCCACCCTCTAGACAGGGCAGAACTGCCCCATGAGTTTCTGAGCCGGTCACTCTTCACAGGGGTACACGCCCTAGCTTCTCTCCATGGAGCGGCTGGCGGTTTTGAATCGCAGACCTTGTGGATCGCAGCTGAAAGCACAGCCACTGGGCCCCCGGGGCGCCTGGGAACGAGAGGCCAGCAGCCCCAATGGTGAGCGCACACACCACGGTCAGAATGCCTTTTCCCGATTCCTCCGAGTTTTGATTTTGAAGATGCTTCACACAGTTGAACGGACTCTGTAAGGAACACCCATATGCCTTCCACCTAGATCTCACAATGAACAGAGGCCTTTTGTTCTCTCGGTACACCCACACACACTTATTGTTCTGAGCCATTTGAAAATAAATTGCTTACTTTAGGATTCCTTTATATCTAAAAACTTTGGAAATGTAAGTCCTTACAAAGGGATAGTCTCCTGAATGGCTTCAATACTATTATTATTACGAAGAAAATCAGTAATATCCAATATATAATCAAGTGTCCCCAATTGTCCTTAAACTGTCTTCCCCCCTTCAAATCTCAAAATGCTTCTGTGTTTCAATTCCTTGGTGGCTTTATCATGGATTTGAGTGCCCATGAGTAACAGGATGCAATTTTCCTCCACAAGGAAGGCCAGTCAGGCCGTGGGAATAACACGCTGTGCTCATTAAACAAAGTGCCTGCCTCTTTCGGTAGCTATCCACTTATGTGTCACTGATAACGGTTTTTCAAGATAACCTCCTCTCTCTGCCCCTGCATGGTCAACAGTGGGATGTGCAACATTCAAGAGGGGCTTTGGCGATGACGGAGCGACGGTACCAACTGAAGACCATCATTTCCCTTTCCAGGGTCCCCTTGTTTAGTCCTGTCACAAATCTTTGGAACCCCAATAAGCAGGTCTTGGGAGCAGCTAAAACGTACTGGTGTGAAAACTCTCAGAAGCCCCTCCGCAGCCTGGCAGCACCGCCCAGATGTTCTATTTTTAGGCTGAGGTGCCAAAGTTGAAGGTAGAGCAATTGTGGAGGTGAGGGTGATGTTAGCTTACTCCTCTCAGGGCTTTACTCCAGAACAAGGATCTAGTGTTCAGAAATAAAAACTTACAGTACGTTCATAATGAAGTACATCAGGGACTTTTCATCCATGATAGAATGAAACTGCCACTGATCCCCAAGGAATTCCTTTTTACCTGTATCTTCCAAGTTCTGCAGGGTTCTTTTAGGACACCAGGAACAACAGGGATTTCTGCACTTGTAAGTAGTATCAATCTATCCACTACGGATTCATTTTAGTTGGGAACATGAGAAGAGCAGGCTCACTAGCGTATAGGATAATTAGTGGCCCCAGTCAACAGAGCGGAGTTCTTCAGGAAAGCTCCCTCCTCTCTGACCGAGATGTGCTAGGCTTGTACTGGTGAAGGCAACATGAAGCAGGCGGGGCAAAAATTTACACCCAAAGGCTGAGAGCTTCATTACGGGAGACAAGTGCTTTCTCTACAGCTAGCGTCCGCTTACACTCATCACGTGCTGCCATGCCGATAATAATCTGATGAAAGGTTTGTCCAAATCCTGAATAATCGTTGCATTAATCTCGGAGACTTGCTTGCTACGCTCTTCTAATAAAAAGATTTACTATAGGGCCTTGTGAAGCGCAGTGCACATTTGTATGTCTGGAAGCTGTCCATTGTTTCATATCTAACTGGCTACATGACTGCCACTTATTTGTCTGCGCCAGTGTACCATCATTGTTCATGAAATAAGTCCACGGTGTTGCCATCAATTATTTACATTGTTCAAATGTCATACGCCACCTCCAGGATTAGGCTTCTAGTTCAAACAATTCTATTATCCATCACAAAATCATTACTGTAATTATTTAAAACCAGATATTACATGCTTCTAGAACAATGACCCATCCTGGGTCTACATGTTGCTGGGACTTCTTATAAACCCTCAATAGTAATAGCAACACAATTATTAGAAGGGGAAAAAAAAAATCACACCAACACCAGATGAATGTAGCAGAGATTGCAGGAGAATGCAAAATAGCATCCCCATCTGGGGACCAGCCATCCCTTTGATGGAACAGGATGAAACACAATGCCATCTTAGTCATTATTTGCAAAACAACCCCAGCAAATTCCAACATGTATATATTGTTTGCTTAGTAAAGTAAAACATTCACGTGTATATGCCTGCAACTTTAGCTACCCTTGTTTATCGCTTCTTTCCCCCCCAAAAGTAGACTACATTTGAGCCAGTGATAAGAAAAGTATCTATGCCTTCTCGCCAGGACTTCGAAAGTCCCTCTCTGGAAAGGTGGAAACCTCACCTGCTGAAGAGAGGGATGTATCTGGACCCCTCTGCTGTCTGACTGGCGGACACCGAGTTACAAATGCAAAACAAAATGGCAGAAATACCGTCTTTCCCACGGAGACTCCCGAGTTTGAGTCAACAGCACAGACGAGAAGTTTAACCATCGAAGAACGTATGTGGAAAGAAGGCCTACCTGTTCTTTGGACGGCACGAGGAGCTCCTCAATCATCATGCTGTCCCGGGCGTAGGAGCTTCTGTTCAAGGTGTACGACCTATCCGAACTGAAGGAGCGGAGGCTGTTGTAGTGAGTTACCCATTCAACAATGGCAGACGATGATGATGAGATGGATAAAAGAAAATCAGTGCATGCAACTTTAAGAACAGGCAAGGATGGCTAAAAATATCAAACTAGAGTTCATCTTCAAAACACACGTTCAAAAACAAAATCCTTTATGTGTGAGGAGATCTCTTGGGTGCAGATAACCTCATCATCAGGTTTTGTTTAAAATCGGGCCAATTGGTGTTCAATCTGAGGCAAGATGAAGTGCCTGAACCACTTTGGATGTTTCACAGCAACAGGTGAACCAACAGGACAACTGAGAAGGACCAGATACTTCTAGAAATTTTAATATTTTCCTAGGGTAAAATTGTATGTCAGACTTTCCTCGCTGACCTATCTGTGCTAGGCTTGTAGAAGCGAAGGGGATATTGTCTATTTTACATGAATCTGTTAATAAGTCTTTGGAAAAGAGATATACTTTAACATGAGTTTATAAAAATCTTAAGAATCAGAACTACTACTGTCAATTCCAACTCACAGTAACATAAGAGGGAGGAGTTGAACGGCTCCGGAGAGTTTCCGAGCCTCTCAGTCTTTATGGGGATGGGCAGCTAAGTCTTTCTCCCATTGGGTAGCTGGTGAGTTTGAACCACCAACCTGGTGGCTAGCAGCCGTGTTCAACTCACTGTGCCATCAGTCATCAGAGGTCCTTATATAGCTTATCCTAACTCCAAACTCACTGCCATAGAATCAATACTGACTCATGGCAACCCTATCGGACAGGACAGAACTGCCCCAGTGAGTGTTCGAGATGGTAACTCTTTATGGGAGAAGAAAGCTGTCTTTCTCCTGAGGAGCAGCTGGTGATTTCGAACAGCTGACCTTCTGGTCGCTGTTGTAACCAACGTGTACCCACTTGTAATCAGGGCGCCCTTATAGCTTATATCGCTTCCACTTGGAAACAGTACATCAGAAGGAGCATCATGAATACACCCTCTTCATCTTCTTCCTGGCCTTAAGGAAAAATTCGGATTCCACGTGGGACGATTTTGTCTTTCCTGCAGGAAAGATTTGCTCTCTTCTTCTCTCTTCTACTGTTCTCCTTCCTAGCACCTCTCAAGACCTGCACACATTCGTGAAACTGCCCGTGTGGGTCGTCCTGTGACACTAACCCTACACCGAACACCAAGGGTGTCAAACGGACTAGCCCTGCCCTGACACACTGGTCAACTTCCTGGGATCCACATAGGCCATGTAGACAGAGGCATGAATCACAGGCCCTCCGATTCTCAGTAGAATGCCTTGGGATTCTTCTAGTACACAGGAGGCTTGGGAGGAGCTCCGGGGAGGTCATCTCCTCCTTGCCTATCTATCTCACCTAGGTCACTGTCCTGACAGAAATTCTCACTGCCTCCTGGTTCTGATGAAGTGGAATCCCCGTGCTTCTCCCTCCTCAGGGTAGAGCTACACCACATGAAACCACTCTGTAGCGGTCTCAAATTATAGTGGGCTCCTTGGGAAATGAGGTGTCCCACAATTAGAGCTGGGGTCATCTCCATTTGTTTCGGTGTCAGCCTTTTTCGTGTGTGGGAGAAGGACCGTGGGGAGCTGGCATTTTGGGGCCACAGTTCCTTGCAGTGTCCCTGTGAGTAATATACTGTCTGGTTTGGCAAATGGCCTGCTGTGCCATTACCGGTAGATCAGTCAGACGTCGGTACGGTCTTGCCTTGCACGAGCAAAGAGGCAGTACACAAAAAACCATTTCGTGTTTTGCACCATGTATTTTCCTCACTATGAGGTTATCTTGAAGGAGGGGCTCTCATGTCAAGATGCAGACCTCCTGAAATCATAAGCATTGTTATAAGAGTAGATACAAATAGGTAGGCACATTCGTCTAGAGTTTCAAATGAATCTGTGATGGCAAAAGGACCTGCCACCGGATCACTAGAGGTGTCAAGTCCTGGACTCGGCAGACATTTGCAGAGTGCCCGTTTCTTACAATGCTAGAAATTGGGGATTCACACGTTTTGGGTTTTTTTTAAAGGTCAACATTATGCCTACAAGGAAAACAAATCTAAGGCTGCCCTGTGACTCTGACCACCGCCTGCTCTGGCCTTCTGTGCCCGTCATCTCCAATCCTTGCGTCTTCTCGCCGACCCCCATTTCAGCTGTGACTTAGCTTTCCGTGTCGAGGCACTGACCTTCTTCCAAGCCCAGTGCAAGCTTCCTGAGAGTGGAAATTCTCTCTACGTTCTAACCGTCCAATAGAGCTTTCCACACGCTGGCAATGTTCTGCAGCTGAGCTGTCCGATACAAAAGCCACTTGAACTGGGGCTAGCGTGAAGCCGATTTTCAGTGTCACTTAGTGAATAGCCTTGACTAGCCACATGGAGCTGGGGGCTGGGGGCTTGAGCAGGGCAGCATCTGACTGCTCCGCACTAGTCTCCGTTAGGCCGGCTGCTGTGATCCAAGAAAGCACTCGTAACTACTGGTGGTGTGTGAGACAGTTTTATGGCGGGTATAAGCAAACACTTATTTTTTTTTTTAAATTTAAAACCCATTACAGTGAGGGAGGGAGGGCGGGGGAGCGAGGAGGAAGAAATGGGGAGCTGATATCTGGGGCTCAAGTGGGAAGAGAATGCTATGAAAATGATGATGGTGGCATATGTGCAAATGTGCTTGACACACTGGATGAATGTATGGACTGTGATAACAGATGTAAGAGCCCCCAATACAAGTATTTAAAAAAATAATAAATTAAACCTATTACATATCACTTTTAATTTCTATTTGGGAATTATGTCTATGGATCACAAGGGCCTGTTTCCCCAGCGATCATGATCATAAGGATGGGAGAGGATTGGGCAGGGCTCCGTTCCTCTGTGCAGGGGGTGAGCCACGAATCAGGGTCCAACTTGGTGACAGAACCGCATGATTGGTTAATACTATTGAAATGACCCTTCTTTCTTTGAACAGATATGAGACGGCTTCAAAAAGTTCCTGGAAAAACTCAACTATCTTGTAATTCCATCTCTCCACAAACTGTTTTAAGCCCTTGTCATATATATATATATATATATAATCACCTGCAGAGCCCAGCACTGAGCGCTAACAATCAAGGGGTCTATGGATGCCTTCATTTTATATCACACCTAAAATTCCTGCTCCTGATGGATCCAGTCCAACTAACATTAGGCAAGGGGGGCCCCAGTAAATCCATCAAGCTGTGCTCCGAATCCTTAGTACATTATTCTCAGCTATGAACATGATAGAAGGAACCAGGTAGTGTCGTGGGTTTGGAGTTGGGTGGCTAGCCACAAGGCCAGGAGTGTGAAACGACGACCAGCTGCCCCACGGGAGCAAGTTGAGGCTTTCTACCGCAGTCCAGCGTTACAAGGAAGCCCACAGGGCAGATTTACTTTGTCCTTTAGAGTAACTATGAGTTGGAATCGACTAGATGGCCGTGCGGTTTTTGTTGTTTTGTCTTTTAGTAAGAAAGTGTTTGCCTGGGAATCTGAAAAGCATTCAACTCTTTTTAAGTCAATGATGCTAGGACTTCTAAAAGTACGTGGAAAAATTGAATGAAAAGAATGTGGAATTTTCCCACAACCTTTTTGAAGCCCCCTTGTATTATTTGTAGCCATCAGTACACCCCAAGTGTTAAACCCAGGAAGTCTTAGACAAACACATGCCTCCAAGTCCTAGATAATACTACAGTGCCCAGCACAGCTCAATACACCAGCCACCAGTAAAAGGAATAGCCCTGCAAAATAAGACTTGTTCCTTAAATTCAGGGAAATTTCTAGGTACTCCATGCAGTTTACATAACGGGTTAATGCAAAGACATCCCTCAAGTGTGGGAAACTGAGGACAGGCTGGTCCCCCATATTCAAGTATTCAGTCCATTTTGCATCAGCAACATTTCCTATCATAGATTTATTTACTGGCTAATTTTCTCAGAATCACCAAATGGATTTTTTGAAAGCTGAGAAGGGGGCAAAAAGAGAAAAACAAACAGCAAAAACAAAAGAGCGAGCACATCAGAGCACACCACAGCACACCGCGTCACAATGCCAAATAAAAGAAAGATGGGCCCATGAGCCAGGGAAGGGAAAGAAACACTGTAAAAGCGCCATGCCTTCTTACCTGACCTTGGGACTATTTTATAGTATTTTTAGAAAGAGATGAGCAATAGAGAGCAAAAAATCAGACAGGGGGGAAAAAAAGAAAAGAAAAAGTTATGATTGCATGAATTATACATTGAATGTCTCCCTTTGTAAATGTTACACTCAGAATATTTTATTGTTAATACTCTAATCATGTGCTTTAAAGAGATATCAGTTTAATAAAGAGACAGCCATTTCATGGAGGTTTTAAAGAAAATTTTGTGTCTGAGCATAACATGAGTTACCAATGCAAAAAAAAAGTGAGTTACACATAATAGCAACACACAGCAATGGTGCAATCAAAAGTACAAGTGTGAAAGGCTTTGAACTGCATTAAGAAAAAAAATGAGCTCAGAGAACATTACGTTTTTATCTCCCATTGGATGTCAGCAACTGCCTTTTTCTACGTACACACGGTGTCTCCCATAGAGGCAGTCTTCAGGTTACAAACACTAGCCACTGCTGCGCGTGTCTTTACACATTTGCAGGTCAGTTGGGTTGGTACTTCAGATCTCCATCACTCACTGCCATTGAGTTGATTCAGGCTCACAGTGATCCTCCCTGGGGTTACCAGCCAGGTAACCTTTGTGGGAGCAGCCAGCTTCATCCTTCTCCTGAGAAGTGGCTGGTGGGTTTGAATACCAACTTTGTGGTTAGCAGCCCAATGCCTAGCCCATCCGTGCCACCAGGGCACCAGGCCCATAGCCTTACTTCAGTGCAAGAGGATTTAAAAGTGGGCCTGCAGCAAGCGTTGATGAAGGGTCTGCTGCAAGTCGGGGTTGGTTCAGAGTGAAGACCCATTTACATGACCGTAAACGGCCAGGGCAGAATGTCCAGAAGCCCGAAGTTCATAACCTGCCTGTATTAGTCGGCCTGCCTGTATTCTTAGAGTTGGAGGCAGCAGCTGGTTACTGGATAATAAAAACTGGTAAATTCCTAAACGGAATTTTCCTTCAGGACCTTAGAAGACCTGGCAGATTTCCAGTTGGAACTTGTTTCTGAGATCATCTGAAATATTACTTTAAAAAAAATATCTATTTCTCTCTCATTAATGGCACTTGTACAATAAGACTTCGAGTCTTTTATAAATGTACATAAAAGCAATAATTCTTTTAAGTTACAAGAGGTTCAAAATTCAATTTTAAAAAAAGGAAACTAACTCCAAGAAAAACCAATCCAACCATATCCAACTGTCCACACTGCTGACATAGAGAACTCCCAGGTTTACTTTGTGGGAAGTGTCATTTACTATTAGACAATGAAACTTTTTACAACAGATTCCTAAAGTATAGGAAAATGTCCCTAGGGCTCTTGCTTGGATGGTTTAATTATTAGCTTTAAAATAACTTGACTGTCAGCAAACATGCTGTTAATTCACAACAGGGAAAAGAAGTCTCCAAATGCTGGGTCAGGTCCTTTTCCTTCCAAACGAAGGAAGATTGGTTTGAGCCAAGGTTTTCCACCTCCAAAAAGTGTTCTACTTTAGTGGTAAAGGTCGAATTTCTCACCCTTTACTATCTGCGACGGTGGTTGTCACTGCGAACACTCCTACAGGGTCACCTTGTAAATGCAGCCACAGAATGGTTTCAGAAAGGGCACTCAGAGACTAGACAGACCCTTTCAATGTTCCTTTTGGAGTTTCAATCCCAAATTATTTTTCAAGTAATGCAGAAAGTAGAGCAATCCTAGACATGTATTTCTCAGTTACTGACAATAAGATTTTCTTTCAATAGAGAGCAAAAATCTTGCTTCAAACATGTGTCCCAGGTTGGTTCTCCCAGTTTCGTCAGTAAGCTCTTTGCTACTCTGCTTGGAGCTGGGCTGCATAGTGGACATAAATGAGCAAATACTATGTTCAGCCTAGGGCTGAGAATTTGCATTGCCATCCTAACCCAAACACATAGCCGTCTACTCTAGTCTGACCAAGCAGTGCAGAGTAGAATTGACCCGACTTTCCAAGGAAGTAGATCGTCATGAAAGGAGACAACCACATCGTTCTCCTTCATTTCCATCCCAGAGATACTGAAGTAGAGCGTACATTTTATCGACTTCGTATAAAACCAAACCCCAACCCAGTGCCATCGAGTCACTTCTGACTCATAGCAACTCCATGAAGAGTTGCCGAGACCGCAAATCTTACAAACACAGGCAGTCTCATCTTTATCCACTGGGCAGTTAAAACGCAAACTCCACTGCGATGGAGTAGATTCTAATTCACAGTAACCCTATTATAGGCCAGGGTAGAACTGCCTCTGTGGGTTATCTTGACCAAAACCATTTATGGGAATTGATAGCCTCATCTTTCTCCCAAGAAGTGGCTCATGGTTCCGAACTGCTGACCTTGCAATTAGCAGCCCAATGCACAACCCACTATGCCCTCAAGGCTGAACTGGCAACCTTATGGTTAGAAGCCCAAAGCTTATGCCACAGCATCACCAAGGCTCCCTGATGATTCTTATAGGATCTTGTCCACATGTAGATTCTAATTCCGTCTAGCTGGGGTGGAAATGCACATTCTCAGCAGGGGCAGAATCGGCATGAACCAGTTCAATCACATAAAACTAAGGACTGAAAACCATGACAGAAGATAGCAGCGCATGTACATTTCACCAAATTCACATCCCCATCCAAAGACCACGTGCAAAGTGCAAAATGAAAATGATGGGTTTATGACACATCATGGCAGTTTCAAATCAACTATGGTCAACACTGCTGAACAATAAAGTACCTGGCAGAGCGGGCTCCGAGACTGAAGCCCATGTAGCCCTCTGCAGGCAGAGAGTCGTCACCCAGCTCCTTCAGGTCTTGGGGACCAAGATACTTGTCTGTGTCCCCCGTCATGGCATCTTCACCTGCAGAGTACACAAGCAGCTCAGGTCAGAAGGGCCCTATGGAATGTGTCAGGAGTGGTGACCATTGCTCCTTGGTCACCGGCAGAGCACCCATTGTATCATATTCACCTTTCTCTGCACATTTTTCTCAACTGACGGTCTACAAATGCTTAAGCAAAGGTTAGTATGCAATTGCAAGCACGGATTTAAATAGTGTAAATAGTCCCAAGCGTCTTTCTTTCCTCCTCATCTCCACCTGCAACCAGAATTCCCTTCACCTCTAGGCGGACCACAAGAGCAGGTTGGTTGAATGGACATAGATTACAATGTAAGAGCCACCTCTTCACTGTTTCTCCTTCTCTGCAGGAGACCAGCCTCTCTTCAGTCGTTTCCCGCAGACTTCAGTTTGGGCCCTGTGCACTAAAAATAGCCAGCCATCCTAACGGAATGGCCCAGTTTGGGAACCTCGGAGCCTACCACTCCCGCACTGTTTCAGAACCAAAAAACGCGCCGCTTCCACGGAAAGCCATTCTGCCTTCCACTGAGATAAAAGCCAGCTGCAGCAGTTTCGGAGTCAGATGGTGTGAGTTGCCTTTTAACTCTCAATACAAAGAGTTAATGGCAGAAAGTGCTTTTACTGCTGCAACTAAGTGACCTCTTGCTTTCAAACCACATTCCACGAGTTCCAGGGCAGGTTTGTCCATTGTCTTCTGCCTTCTGGATGGTCCTTTCAAAAGGTAGCACGGGCTATAAAGTCCTTCCTTTGCCCCCGGGCCAACACATCTCTACTCTCCCGCCCGCCCTTTCCGAGCCCCAGGTTGCCCCTCCAGGAGCAAGCTCGAAAAGCACGCCGGGTGGGTGGCTCCAGCTACATTTTCCAATGTCGTCATTCCATCACTGAAATTCAGGAGACTTGCGCAGGGGCGCCACTTTTAAAGGCCTCCTCACGCCTGCAAACGCCCTGTCAACGACTGGCCGCGTCCGGGAAGGCGCAACCAGGGCAGAACGGACTTGATTCGGTACGCCTCACAGCCGGGCCCGCGCCCGCGCCCCGCCTCGGACAGCACGGCGGCACGCTCCACGCACAGCCCACAGCAAGCGCTTACTCTGTGGCCGGGCCATTGCCAGCAGGCTGCGCCGGTCGAAGGTGTCCCCGCCGGGTCCCGGGATTCCAGGGCAGGGATTGCGCCTGAGCCTCCAGAGCAGCCCACGCCAGCCCGCCCCTGCCTCACCACCAGCGCGCGCGGGTCAGCATCGCGCTCTCCTCGCGGGCCGTCGAGGGGTCACGCAGCGTCCCTGCGCAGGCCAGGAGGGGGTGTAAAAACTTCACACACACACACACACAGAGAAGCAAGCTGGGGTGGGGGAAGACAGGCCGCAACCTGGCGACACTTCATTGAGATGAAGCCCCTTCTTGATCACTCCGCAGACATCCTTTGAAAGCGCCTCCTGATTGGATTAAGCACTCCCCGGGCAAGCCTCTCGCGGGGCCGAATGGTGACATCGACGTGAGCCCGCGAGTGATTTGTATGTAAATACGCGGCCTGCGCGGGTGTAGACTTTCGGTAATTCGATCCCGGGCTCGGTGCCTCTCCGGGTACCCGAGCCAGCCTTCCATGGGGGAAGGCCGGCGCGCCGGGCGCTGCGTCTAATTCGGGGAGGATGCTTCCCAAACCGGCAGGAAGCAAGAGCCGGGCAGCTCAAGGGAAGCCCAGCGCACACCCACCCTAAAGCCGCGGCCCGGGGCGGGGGGAGCGGCGGGAGCTCCGGGCAACCGTGCCCTTGTGCTTGCGGCTGGGAAAGCCGGAGCCTGGGCTATTTGTGGTCGCCGTCAGGTGGAAGAAGGGGGCGGGCATGCCCTTGAGCCCACGTTGTCAACCGGGGACGCCCCGGAAAAGCAACCAACCGAGCGTCCCCAACTCTCACCGCCACTTGTTCACCAAGAGTTGGAAGACAGGAGCTGGCGGAAGCAACTGTGCGCTGCGCTTTCTTGCTGGCAGAAAGTACTTCCATTGCTGGCAGCATGCACCTTCTTCCCGGAGCTCAGCCCCAGAGCCGAGCAGGGCGTAGGGAGTGGCGGGGAGGACGGGGGAGGGCTGGGTGGCCGCGGGTGGGAGGCAGCCTTGAGCTTAACTGTCGCTTTGCAGTTACATAGTTTCCTTCTCGCAGGACCCAGGGCCTCCTCGGTTTCTAGGCTGCTCCACCCTGTGCACACTGGCCCTTGGGGACACAAAACTAGCAGCTGGGTATGTGCGGCTCTTCCATCTGAGTACGCTGGAGAGGCGATTTCAATGGCTGCTGCTGCTTTGTCCGGGGTAGCTGGGGAAGGAAGCTACAGGAGTAAGCGCAAGAGTTACCAACTGCCCTGCACAATCATGGGGTGCCTACCTCCGAAACGTTTTCTCCATAAACGGAAATTTGAACCTGCAGAACTGGAGCAAATGGAGAACGAATTTCGTTCTCCTGCCTAAATGAATAAATAAGTGAGGCTCATCTAATATTAAGATGAGATGGCACCTGGTGCTCTAATCTGATCAGCCTGACGGTGATCAACATTGTAAACACAGGCACGGAAGTGATCCCATTTATACTGTTGGGTCCGGATTGGCTAAACATTCCCAAGTCAAAGAATGATTTCCAACTCTTGTAAAGAATTTGGGGGTGGGGAATAGTTATGGTTCAAGAATAGGAAATGTCTGAAGGTTTTTTTTTTACTTCTGTGCTGAAAATCCGTGCTACTCAGCGAAATGTTACCGGTGTCCCTGAAAGGTGCACAGTGAAGTAGTCCTTCCCCTTGCTTTCGAGGCCAACCTCAACTCCTGCCTCGCCTCCACACCCACTCTGCATTCCTGTTAGGACTATGTCAGTCCCTGGAATTCTTCTAAGGAGCTCTTGTGACACTACAGTTAAAGTGCTCGGTTGGTGAC